ATGGAGGTGCAAGATAAACAGTACAGGGATATTACAAATCATCCTGAGGGAACCATGATTGTCTTCACAAAATGTCATGGCAATCCATGCAACAGATGACATACCTGACCTACATACCTGACATTGCCATCCATAGAGCCATGCCATGCCGGAATGGCTAATACTCGCCTATTGTAACCACTATCGAGTACAATTCAAACATTTTACTGCCCCCTTTCAAGGCTAAATGGGGTGAAATTACTGGCACCGTCTCTGTAATACTTCTCCACACTTGTAGGGTTAGGGAACCCCTGCTGAGATGCTCTTATTATATTGAGAGGCTTTAATATAAAGTTTTCTGAAAACACTGGCCAAACCTAAATTCTACTTGCATTAATGGTGGGAGCTCAATTTCATCCCCATGCGACCAATTATTCCATTTTCGGTCTGTTCCAACTCTAATCCTCACAGTTTCACAGCTCTTAGCCTTTAACTACAACACAGAACACACTTGCAATCACACTGCCTACACTTCCTTGTCACAATGAGTAATTATATCATATTGACATCAGCTTATGTGTGGGGGCTCATGCATGTGTATGTGTGATTGAGAGTGTGGGTATACCACAGTTAGCCCCTAAAATGATTTAATCCGGTTAAGGGGATTTTCAATTAATCCAGGAGAGGCCTACATTTTGACAGTGCCATATTTTTAGCACATTTTCCTACTGATGCAACAGAATTTATTTTCCCCTGCAGTTGTAAAGCTGATATGATTCAGTGCTCTCGCAAGATGGAAAGCAAATTTGTTTCGGACACTTGCATCAGTGTATGGCTCTGAAATCAAGCCGATGCTGGACATTTATGTAACTATCTGTCTCGGTAGCCATTATTCACAGATTTGTTTTATTGTCATTTCTATAGTCAGCTCCAACTCAAAGAAAGCAGCAGTTGCCTAGGAAGCAGCACTGTGGGGTACATTAATAATTGTGTAGATTATGAGTCACGATAGATCTTTGAATATATAGACTGTAAATGACTCAATACGGTCATAATGAGTTATACCGCTTGGTTGGAATTAAAAGTTAAGTGTACCGTTATGGAAAAACACTCCATGAAACACTTTGGATTGGGATTTTGGAAAAACAGCAGGTCTACTATAGACCTACCATGATCAGTAAGGAATATGATGTAGATAAGACTGTAGCAGCTTCTTTTTGAGGGTTTTTTGATGTTTCCTAAGTAAAAGTAATCATAGGGGAAACTTAAATGGCATTGGTTTTATCATATAAGTATTATCCACTCACAACCAGGAAGAAAACATAATTCATTTCAAAATGTGTGTCTGGAGTGAACTCTCAGAAGATGTCTGAAATTTGATCATAGTCTGGCATGGCCATCAAATC